ATCAGTCATATTGGATTAGAGGCACACTCCAAAGCCTTATTACCTCAGTCAAGGCCTTACTTCCAAATGTAGTCACATTTTGAGTTACCAGGGACTAGGGCTTCAACATGTGAATTCTGAAGGGACAGAATTCAGCCATAACAATGAGGTGGTTTTTAAGCAGAGACCCTGCTGAAGAGAAAAACACGAATTTGTTGTCCAGTGGATCATCTCCAACTCCATCATCAAGTCCACCCCATGGGACCCAGACTCTGCAGCTCTTTACTGAGGGCCCCTCTGTGCCAGGCGCTGTCCAGGACTCCACACATATTAATCAAGGAACAGTCTTCCTTCCCTCTTAGGTGTCACCTCTCTGTGATGTACTTGGGAAGGTTTGACGGCAGAAAGAGATGGGCTATCCCCATGTGGTCCAGAGCTCCCTCTCTGACCACTTCTCTTCCAACTGGTGTTTCTCCTGCTCTGCCGGAGGCCTCTCTTCATTCCACTATTGACCACAACTCAGAGGACCTGGAGGACTGAGGTCCCTGTGGTGCAACATGGCTACTTTTTTAGAAGCCTTTGCAGAGGGGGAGGTAAAAACTGGGCAGCTCACACTTCTCTTTGTGGCCCCATCTGTACTCCACCCTGGAGGGGGGGGTAGTATGCTAATTCCATCCTGAGGTCTCTACCCTTATGACCTAATTACCTCCCAAGCTCCACCTCCAAATACCATTATAATGGGGTTACATTGGGGAGTTTCAACATATGAATTTGGGGTGGGAGTGGACCACAGACATTCAGTCTACAGTAGGTAGCTAACCTTTGAAAAATACCAGTTTCAAGTGGATTTGGTTTCATAAGTTGTGAATTGATATAGATTGGAAAACAGGCTCTGAGTAGCCACAGTGTGCGCTAAGAGGAACATTCAGGGCTTTCACTGACAGATTGATGTTCTAGGGAGACATGTGCAAGTGGCAACAGCAGTTCCTTTTTTTTTTTTTAATACTGCTATGGAGAAAATTTTAAATATTTAAAATTATTTCCTATGAACGAGGCTCTCTCTGCAGGCTGCTGAAAGCCACTGAGTGCTGGAGAAGTGGGGCAGCTTAAAGGGCTCAGCATGAAGATCACTACAGCTAATCCAATTTTGTCCCTGGAACAGCACATCTGCAGGCATGAATTAACCACTCTCTGGTTGCCACTGTTTTACTTCTCTTTTTAATGGTTATGTTTTTTATTAGATTCCTACTCACCAACCTGAAAAGAGTTTTGACAATTGGCTGATATTATTATCTGATAGAATATCAACCAGCCATTGAATTAGTCATTCAAATAACTAAGTTGTGTGTCTTTAGAAAATAGTCTGAGTGGGGACTAAATGAAAATTCATAAATTCAGTTTTTCTGTTACATAGGTCTTTATATCTTCTTGATGATTTGTGTTTGTTGGGGTCAGTTGCCTACAGGGAGGAAGGAATTAATATATTTATCTGGAACTAAATGGATCACTATTTGTAGAGCTGATAAAAACTTTTTGGGGACACTAGATAGATTTTCTGTGTGTGTTTTTTTAAATATGCTTTTATTGATTTCAGAGAGAGGAAGGGAGAGGGGAAGAGAGAGAGATACATCAATGATGAGAGAGAGTCATTGATTGGCTGCCTCCTACACATCTCCTGCTGGGGATCGAGCCCGAAACCTGGGCATGTGTCCTGACTGGGAATCCAATCTCGATCTTTTGGATCGTAGGTCAATGCTCAACTGCTGAGCCACGCCGGCCGGGCAGATATTCATTTTTATTGCTAGTTTTTAACCAGCTGGGCTGAATAACTACTTGTGAAAGTTCTTGATGTGGGCTGTCTTTGAGTCACCTCTCTTGCCTAATTCCAGGTATTTCCTATGAGACTAGTCAGAACTGAACTGGAATACTTCAGATTATTTTACATGCAGCGTTCATGAACAAAGAAAACTTTTTTCATGACAAGCATTTTAAAATTAAGACTATCACTTGAAATAATTTGTCTACATACCATAAAATGTCTTTATTATGAAAAGACACAGAAAATTGGCTATGCTGACCATTACTGAATAGCACCTGTCTGTTCTGTCTTCAAACCAGGAGCCGTGCCTTACCCTGCTCATCACTCACAGGTCACACCTGATGCAGGAGCAAATGTCTCTGCTCTGCCTTAAAACATATCCTAGAACAGCCTCTTCTCACTGCCTCCCCACACTGTAGTGTAGGTGTAAAGAGTGAAGGCTCTGGAGTCAGCTCTGGGCTTGAATTCTCCACCTGCCCCTGGCTGGCTGTGAGCCCTTGGTCAAGTTCACTGCTGCCTCAGTTTTCTCATCTATACAATGAGAATAATAGTGGTGAGCTATATGTTATAAGCCTGTTGCTGACACTGTATGTATAGCTTTTGAGCAGTGTTGACATATAAAGGCTCAGTGAGTATTAGCTAGTACTATTATTATTATCTTCATTAATTATTATACAGTCTTTAAGTCCAACCCACCATTCAAAGTGAACTTTATAAGATAGACATCAGATCATGGTGCTCTCGTGCTGAAAAGCCTTCAGTAATTTGTAGCTAACTCAGAAAAAAAGTAAATGAATCCAGAGTTCTTACTGTGTCTTCAAGGCCCTATGTGATGTGACTCCTCTGGTCCTCTGACCTTGTCCACCATTGTCCACCTTTCTCCCACGCTAGGCACAGAGCACCTTTGTTCCCGCTGGGACGCTTCCCTGTATGTCTTGCCCCACCCCAAATTACTGTCCTTACAGCCCTGTACAACTAGCATAGCAGCTCCATAGGCCAGGGCTTCACCCCATTTTGTCCGTGCATTGCCAGCACCCAGAGCGGTGCCTCATCTGTAGTAGTTGCTCGATGGGTATGTATTTGTGGAATGGGTGAATGAGTAAAACAAACTGTTTCCAATTCTAATGTTTGGTGTGTTTTAAAAGGTATAAAATAAAGAGCTTGCACAAATATTGTCAAAAGTAAAGTTAAATTTGGTTAAAACCATCAAAGAGTTTCTCTGGAGTTTAATGAACGTGGCGTAGTGGAAGAAAACAGTGGCTGAGAGTGAAAATGCTGGGTTCTGGTTCTCATTCTGTTTCTGCCACTGAGATCACTTGGCTTCTCTGAGACTATGCTTTCCTGTCTATCAAATGCAGGCAAGACTACAAAGCTCCGGAACCCCAGGGGTCTGAGAAGCTGCCCAGCTGAGGGAAATGGAAAAAGGGGTGATGGGAGGCACTCTGAGCCCCTCCATTTTAACTAGAGCACCTGTGTTTATATTTTCTTTACATACTGAGGTTTCATATGAAATTTGGTTTGGAAAAAAAAGTGGTTCTAAAGTGTTTAAAAACCACCAAATTAGAAGAGCACAAAGGTTATTTTTAGCTTATTGATTCTGGTAACTGTTTAAAGGATATTGTTTCTTCATCATTCTCTGCTTCCTCCCCTCCCAAAGGAAAACTCACTGAATATTTTTTCAAATGTCTTGAAGAAAATTATGGTATGTGGGTAAAAAACAAAAATATCCTCATCAAGAAATGAGTTACATGAAAACAAAGACCAGATCTACCTACTCACTACTAATGTCCTCATGCTTAGCACAGTCCTGAGGCAGAGCTTACTCAAAAACTCTTTGTTGGATGGATGACAGGTGGATATTTGAAGCGAGCAGCAACTTATTTTTAAACGAGAATATATTATTTTGTAATAACTGGTGAAAAACATATGTTAAATCATGAAATTTTTACAAGTGAAATCTTGTTTTTTCAAGATATTTATTGGATATTCATATTATAATAGATCATCTTTAAACACTGTTTGCTAAATGGCAAACTTATTGCACCTTTTTTTAATTCCTTATTTTCTGATGTTAGTTATTTAAAACATAAAACTCTCGATCCAAGATGGCTGCAGAGTAGGTGGAAGCTACATTCATCTTCTTCCAGGACCAAACTATAATTAAAACTAAAATATAGAACAGCCATCCTGAATAACCAACTGAAGACTGGCTGAAGAGAAGTCTTATAACCAAGGAGTTACAGAAGAGGCCACAGCAAGACTGAGATATGCACAGAACTAATGAAGAAATAAAACTCCTAAGATAGTGGCAGGAAGGAATTGACAAGGAGCTTGGTACACTCCAAGCAAAGGCTACCAAAAAAGCCTTATGAAGTTGCAGGTGACTTTGAGAAGTTCCTACATAAAGTGTGATCTGGAGCTCAAGCTGAGAGAGAATTGCTGGCATCACTGTCATCACCACCACCATAGAAGACTGCAGCTTTGAGGAAGAAGAGCACTGAGAGGAACCAAAGAGAAACGGTGTTTAAGAATATTGCTTACAAAAATAATAAAATAATATATAAAACCTAAAAGTATTCAACATGAGTTCCTTTCTTTTTTCTTTTTTTTTTGCTTTAGAATATTAGCTTTAAAGTAGAGAGTGTGCTATTTATTTTTATCATGCTGTTGTAGTGTGAAAGGTACTTACTAATTATAATAATAAGCTATTTGGGCATAACTTTAGATCACAGTTGGCTTTTAAATTTGGCAGATCTGCTTGAAGTCGATAAGAAAAATCTTACTGAGATTTCAATACCGTTTAGTTGAGGAAAACTAAAGTGAAGGTGTAACGGTAAGACATTGAACAGCTGATCTGCAGGATTGTCTTAGGAACAGAAAGGAGACTATTAGCCTTGCATTCTTGGAAAAGCATGTATTCTCATGTCTTGACAAAACATAAGAATCATATGTTACACAATTTTGTGAACCTTACTCATAAGGTTATAAAATATTCCCGCCTGTACATTGCCTAATAAGATTCAGAATTTTGGTATGTTTTACTATCAGTCTCTCTAAAAATGCTCCTCTTAAACCACTCTGGTTCTGTGTGTATGTGTATGAATGCACTTATGGAAAGTATACATTTATTCATAGTGCGAGTCTTATATTTGATAATAGTTACTTATGTATTTGTTACTTATGAATTTATCTTTTACTTTAGGTAAAGAGGATGAATTTCCGAAGAAACCTTTGGGACAGCTTCCACCTGAACCTCAGTCTGCTGGCATTAGTCACCTGAGCAATGGACAAAGTGTTGGCAGGTCAAGTCCCCATAAGAACAGAAGAGAGAGTGGCTCATCGCCTCATAGAAAAACAGAGCATTCCCCTCACCATCAAAATAGACCTGGTACACCAGAAGGAGTGAGGCAGCCACGACAGAAATCAGAGGAGGAGGACAGTAAAAAGCTTAAAGATGAGGCAGATTTTCAAAGAAAAATTTCATCAGGTCCCCAAGACAATGCCAGGCAATACGACCATGCAGCTGCTAACCAAAATAGCAATGCTATTTCAAATATCAAGAAGGAATTTATGCCCAAATGGAATAAACCATCAGATGTTTCAGCTATTGAAAGAACTGCCAAATATGCCATTGAAGGCAGAAGTCGGTTTGCGCACCCCACGCTTACTGTCACCATCCCAAGTTCTGCTGATCCTCGGATGTCAAATGCAAGGCAGAAGATGAAGGTCTGGGATGCCGATGACGGGAAACGGGGCTCGAACGCATCGCAGTATGATAATGTACCTGAAAATGAAAATGGCATGTCTGTTGAAGAGGCACTAGAAAGGGCTTATTCTCAGAGTCCAAGGAATATTGTTTACTCCCACGGTCCACGAAAGCATGCTGAGCCAAGTTCCAGTCCTTCAAAAGTATCAAACAAGTTTACCTTTAAAGTACAGCCTCCAAGTTATGTAAAATATCCAGCTCAGTTAGATGGGGAAGATTGCGGGACGGTGCACCCCCCATCTTACAGCAATCCCCCTATTTACCATGGAAATTCTCCAAAGCACATCTCTAACAGCAGCTTTGTGTCTCCACAGTTTAGCCATGGGGCTCCAATGAATCCTTCCAGGAGACCTTATGGTTCCACTCTTTCCATCGATGTTTCTCCAGAGAAACCTCACAGCCGCCCAACTCCTCTTGTCCTACCATCTAGTCGAATAGAAGTTCTTCCCATTGATATTGGTGCTGGGGGATATTTGGGCAATTCAGGGTCACCAAAGAATGGAAAATTCATCATTCCTCCAGTGGATTATTTGCCAGATAACAGAAAATTGTCAGAAGTCAGTTACACATATAGACCTGAGATGCCTGAACAGTCGTGGACTCGAGATGCTAACCGTAGCCACTTAAGCAATTTAACAAAATATTCCGCCTTTCAACATGTACCCTATCAGGACCATAGCCTCCCCCCAGTTTCCGTGGATAGTCCAGTGCGGTATAGAACTTCCCCAGCTGTAGAAGGTGCCAGTTCCTCTGGGTATCAGTATTCAGGGCCCTCGGGTCCAGTGTATCACTACAGAAACCGGGATGGACTTTCTGTTCAAGAATCGGTATTGCTGTGAGAATTCACCTCTACCTGCTGAAGACAAGAGGATAGAAGCTGCCTGGAACCTACATTGCTATGTTTATAATTGCCAAAGCAGTATTTTACACCATTGTAACAACTCGCACAATTCTCATGTATGTTAGTAATAAGAATAGGTGGGAGTGTTTTCATCCCCACTTAGATGCTGCTTAAGATGAGCATTTTAAATTGCATCATCACTGAACCTATTAACTTACCATGGAAACGTAGCAATAGCATTTAGGGATGCACACAAAATAAGTATTCATTATTCAGTTCCATTTATAGTTTTCTCAAAACCTGAACATTTTTACCCTATTAGCCTATTTTATTTTGAGTAATGTTACAAAGCACTGAAAATTTGTCCGTGTAGAGTAGATATTTTTAAGGCTCTATGTAGTGTATGTGTCTTTTAATAGATATAGGCATATCTACGTACACACTTGAACACAGAACTAATGAAACATTAAAAAAACTGCTTTTAATCTAGATCCATGGAATAATTTATTCTCCTTTTCTTTAACTGGTCTTTTAGACAAGTTTTTCTTCCCTCATATTTTTAACCCAGATCATAAACTGACTTAAGGATATGCCTTGAGTTGGTTAACTCAGATCTCATGGAATACTCATTTTTCTCATTCACTTGCTGCCATTTTCTTTCTGTCTGAAAATGGAAGACATGGGAGAGGAAGGCTAACCACTTAATGGTGCTTAAAAATTGTGGCAGCGAAAGTAAGTGTATGGCCAGAGGCGCAGGCTCAGCGTGTCCGTGGGCACTGAGATTATGTTCGTGCCTCTGTGCCCTTGCTCTGGTCTGCCTTCCGAAGCTCAGAGCAGAATGTTCCTGCCGGGTGCACAGGAAATGCTGTGCACAGGCGGCCGCTCTCCTGTGATGCCAGCAGGAGAGGTGTTAAGGTCCCGTTGGGTGGCAGAACACACTTCTTGGAAATTCCTTTGAAAGCAGGATTAACAATATGGTTACTTCTTACTGCTGCCCCTGACTTCCTGCAGGGCCTCACTACAAAGGGCTGGGGGGTCATTTACGTGATCTTTTTCCTGGCACTCTTCTCTTTAAAGAATGTAGTCAATGGATATTGCTGCCGCATAGGCCATTTAATTATCAGCGTGTAAAATTGTAAAAAATGATCTGAATTATGGCCTTTTAAATAGCGTGACTTTCATAATTTCAAAGATCATTTTTTCAGGGACAAAAATTTGGGTCCATGTTAAAAAAAATTAGCAATGTCTTTAAAAATATTCTATTTACACTACAGTTACCAAAACACAAAGTTCGGAGCATGCCAAGAAAGTATGACTTTGTGTTTAATTGGAGAGCTTGTTTTCAGCATTACTTGGCTCACATTTGAACAGTAGAGTAGAAAACCTAACGTTGAGGGCTCTTGTTACAAGTTGTGGCTTTAAGCTTTCAAGGTACAGAAGTATGTCTTTTAAACTGAAAGTAACATTTGTTTAGCTAGTGAATGTGACAATTTTTTTATGTATATGAGTCTAATGTAATTTTAATCACCTTGGTAGTGATGTTATTAAATGGCAAAACAAATTCAGTGTATTAGCAGGTAAGCACTATACTGAAGCTCAGACGAAATCCTGACATCACTGGGCTCTTGATTCAGATCATGTGAAGCTTAGATATATATGTACATAAAAATATAGCTGGGGATATTCTAATTTTTAAACCATGATTCTGTGACTTGTAATAAATCAAGCTGTACAATTTAGTTCATGATAGCAGCGCCTGAGCTGCTTCAAAATATATATATCAACAGTGGCAAATACTGTAGATTTATATATATATATATGTATGCAAAATATGTATACACACACACTATTTTCTTATGTCATCTTTGACATTTTTTTATCTGTATACTTTTTTTGATGTGATTGTTTTTAACATGCTAAAAGTAATACATATATTTTGTTTTGTGTCTTTTATGTGCTTTTTTCATAAGGCAGAAGTGCTGCATCCCTGACCCTTCTAAAGCTAATTTTCTTCTAATGAAGTGGATACTGCCAGTGTTTGCCCACGTGACTTTACGTACATCAAGTTCTGTTATATGCTTTATTAATTCCCAGTAGTATGTGTTTAGAACTACAGCACCTTTCCTTTATTTTATATAACCTGCCATTATTAATAGCAATAAGATATTATTTCTAGTCTTCCCCATTATAACGTGTAGCTCTCTATGTCAGTTTTTCAAGTAGGAAAATTTAATTTGAAGTTACTTTGCCACCATACAATTTCACGCTTTCAAATTTATCTTTTAATAAAGATAAATAATGAAATAATGGTAAAAGATGAAATAATATTGGTAAAGCGGGTTAAAATATATTTATGAAAAACATTTGGTAAGAATTTTTATGATGTGGAGACTGACTTTACTCTGTAACTGCATGTACTTGGTGTAAATATTTTGTTACAGTCTTCATAGAAGTTTTGCCTAAAACACTAAGCACTTTGGTATAGTTTTTATTTTCATAATACTTAGTTTGAAAAGTTAAAGAAACTAGGCCCAGAGTCTCAAAGAGTTTTAAAACTTTGACTCAGGTGCTTGCTTTTTTTAATAGTGTATATATTTTTAATGACAGCTTTTTAAAGCTGGTAGATATATGTAAAATTAGATATCAAATTATTGTAGGGGAGGAAAAAAATATTTTTCTGTCTACCTTTCTAAATTCTCTGGCCAGGCCCTGTAAATTGGACTGACAAAAGATAGATGAACAAGAGAAAAACAAGTTTATTGACGTGCATCCTGCGCTCAAATGGGAAGATCCAGTGATGAGTATCTCTAAGGAGGGCGCATGTGGGGTTTAGATACCTAAGTGGGGAAGGGATGGGGAGAAAGGCACTTACGGAAAAGTAAATGACTTTGGAAAATAACTAGACCTTTGGAAAAAATAGATGGGGAGATACGATAGTTTGTGACAAGCCTGGGTGTGGTGCCAGAAGAGAGTAGAGTTGCCCAGGGAGGGGATTTATGACTATTGAGTTCTTTGGGAAGGTTCTGCTTTAGGCAGATAAGGGATTTCAGGAACTCACATGCCTTCAGCTCAAAATCTTCTGTATGCCAAAGTGGCATATTTTGGGGTAGCACGCCCTGAAACCCTTCAGCATCAAAGAGTGTTTCTTGAAAAAAACTAAGAGATTTAGTCCATAGGACATTTCTGGAGAAGAAAAATGGATGTTTACAGAATGTGATATGATTGTTTTAATTTTTCCATTTTAAGAAGATTCTAATACTAAATTTTATGCCATACTTAGTGTAACTTTGAAATTGTGTTTCATGTCTGCAGTTATCTCACATCTCTCCCTCAGGGCCCATTATAATTCAGGCACAAAAACAGTACCTCATTAAAACTTTGCTGAGATCTCTTATTTTCATGTTTAGAGGAAAACATGCCTTGTCCATAAGTAGGGATTTATTCGCAGAGGACCTAAGCTTAATCTCTGGAAATATTAGTACTCTCGGTTACCTTTAATACTCACTCTTTTTTTATATGCACTTAATCGTGGGTTAAGATTATGGTTTTAAGATCTGTTTCTTTGTTTTAATTGTCCTTTAATGGATAGTAAATGTCCATTTCTAATATGGATATTAATGCTTATTGACAAGGTGATTTTAATAAGTCAAACTTTACTTTTACAACAACCCAAGGTATTGTGATTAGGAAGAAGGATTCTATTTAAAATTTATTTATGATTTGTACTTTCAGAAAGATTTTCAGTTAACCATAAATCTAAGGATAAGTGTCACCATTTTATAGGTAAGAACACTGAGAAAGGAACAAATTTTAGATTTCATCGGAGTGGATATCAACCCCTGCCGCTTTTTAGAATTACTGGGGAACTTTTAAAAAATGTTCTCCTTGGTTCCTACCCTCAGCCCCTTAAGTCAGAATGGCTGGGGTGGATCCTAGGTTTTAGATAATTAAATTTTCTCCCATGCTGTCAATTAAGCTGTCGCCCGCCCCCCAAAACATCCCTCTGAAGTTGATTGTCTTATATTCCCACTATGAGCTGTCCCAAAAATTCTTAACAGATCAGTCTGAGTTTATAAATACTGATTTCAGGTAAGTTAGGAAAAATTCCACCGAAAAAATTAACATTGTCAGCAATCTGTAAATTTTGATGAACTGACTGTTGTAGGAAGTATATATGGCTTCCAATGGAAAGTAGCATGACCTTGTGCAGTCTCTCATTAGTGCTTACAACAGTTGTGCAAAAAAGCTGGAGCCTTGTTAAGATTTCCATTTCCCTAGACAACCTCTGTTGTTTTCCTCAAGTGACGTTAAAAAAGGCCTACATTGTTCGGAAGCCTATGTGCATGTTCCCTATGCGGAGCTGAGGGAATGCTTCTTAGTCTGGGTACTTGCTTGACCAACCAGTCAACACTTTATTGAGTACCTACAGTGGACTGGTGGTTCTAGAGACTGTGCTAGACTCATGTTTCAGTATCAGAGACATGTTCTACAATCCGTGTCTTCACTTGGTGTTGGGATACCTGCATGGGTGATTACTACAGGCACAGAAGGCCACAGCTCAAGAGGGCTGGCAAAGTTTATGGAGAGCTGCCTCAGCTGAACCTAAGAGGATTCTTGAATGGATAGAAAATAGGGAGGGGAAAGGGGCATTTCTCCACGGGAATGGCATGAGCAACTACATGGTCTTTGGGGGAAAGTTTGCCACTTTGATGTGTGGGTGTCACGCTCCACAGAGAGACCAAATTTTAGAGGGCCTTGTGTGCTGTTGAACTTGGTCCTGTAGGTAGGTTTTTCCATGGTTATGTTTACATTTACCTGTGTGGTCCCTAGAAGCTGTGGAGGCCAGATGTGCAGGAACAGGCCTAGACGAAGTGGGGAAGACTGCGGCAAGTGTCTCTCTAAAGGTGGTACAGAACTTAAGGCCGGGGAAGTACCAAAGAAAAAGTGATTAACTAGAGGTCTAATTACAAAATAAAATGGGCAAGACTTGATAATTGCTTGAATGTCATCATCATCATAATAAGAAAGGTAGCTAATATTACTGAATACTTACTAGTGCCTAGCCTGTGCTTAAGCATTTTACCCATATTAACTCAGTTAATTCTCACAACTCTGTGGTGTATGTTATACTGTAATTCCCAGTTAACAATGAGAAAACTAAGGCACAGATCAGTTGAAGTAACTTAGTGACACAGTGGTCACTTGAATCCAAGTGGTCTGAATCTAGAACCTGTGTCCTCCCCCCCCCC